TTCATTTGGGACCCGTACTCAGAAGTCGAGATTCAGTATACTGAAAAATCCTGCGTACGCCACTGATCCACACTCTCAAATCTAAGACTTCATGATCTTTTCTTGTTCAAATACGAAAATAAATCATGACTACAAAAGTCAATTCAGCAATACCAATGCAATGCTGCATATACTAAAATACGCTACTAGCAGTCTCACAAAAAAAAATACTGCCAATATAAATACATAAAAGTTAATCTTTGAATATTTATGTAAACGATTAGGAAAAAAATTTATTTAGTTCTCGCTGTTTTGTATTTATCAATAATTTGTTACATTTGAACATTTGTATCATGACTAAAATCAATATTTTATATACGAGGGAAAAAAACAAACATCAAACTGCATATAAAGAAAAAACAAACAAAACGTATTCTTATTTAGGTTTACAAAAAGAAAAAAAGACGATAATTATTTTGTCATTTGTTTTCATAAAATGAGTATTTTAATATGAGAAATGAAAAACTTTCTTGTTCATTCAATATGAGTTGTTTCATGACCATAAATTTTATCAACTGTAGGTAAATTATTCTTAAATAATGATGTATCAAATGATGACATCATACCATGTAATATTTGTTTAGATTTCACACTATCTAAAATAAAAACAAAAAAAACAAAAAATCTTATTCATAAATAAATTAAAATTCTTACGATCAATATATCGTCGTGCAATTAATTTAAGTAATTCATCTAATAATATAACTGGTAGAGAAATTTTAATTACAGCTAACCATTCTTCTAATGAAAGTGGACAAATTTGAAATACCGTCTAAAATAAAAAATTAATTCAATTATATTGTAAAAAAAAAAATAAAACAAAATGAAGCTTACATTAAACATAGGTATATAAAGAATCATCATATGTAATGACATAGATAAAGCAATAGCATATAAAAGATATTTATTTTTCCATGGTGGCATTTTAAGAAGAGATTGATTTTCAGATAAACTAAAATAAAATCTTTTTTTTGTTTTTTTCTAAATATATATTCATTTCAATAATAACCTATTAAGTGCATTACACATTTCAATAGTAACAAGTACTGATAGAGCCATTGTCATTGGATGTGGATCATCGAATATAGAACAATTTATATTTTCCCATTCTTTACCACCAGAACGACATTTAAAATGATTTTGCTAAATGAAAATATAGATTTCAAATATTTACATTAAAAATAGGATAATTATTAAAACACATGCTTTTAAAAAAGCATAGATTATATGCATTTTTAAAACTAAGCCGGAAGCAAAAAAGTATTTTTAACTTTTTTCATAGATAGAACAAGTTGAAGAAAAGTTTTGATTAATTGAAATAGTTTCCTATTAGATGAAAGATGTTTGAAAAACCAAGATCTTCACTCAACCAACGACAGTCATTGTGTCATTGACCTAAAAAGCTGAATTCGTTCGAACTTAGAGAAGTATTTCTTCTGATAGAAAATTGTTTCAGATATTCAAATCTTTTCTGCTACTTTCATTAATAAAAAAAGTCACAAAAATACTGCTTTTGTCTTGACTTTATTTATTATTAGTTAGTAAATAATATATTCCTCTTTTCTAATGTTATAATAAAAAAAAAATACTTTTTCATGCTTATTAGCTTGTTGTCTATCTTACCAATTCTACTTATTCGATTATAAAAATCCTTCTGATAAAGTTCAATATACTTTATAAAATTATGCAAAAAAACAAATACATACCAAATGCCAATAGGAAAGTTTTGGACCATTAGTTGCATGCATTGACCACCATGTTGCACTCCATACTACAGCAAAACCAACATAACCTATTCAAAAAAATAAGAATAGCATAGAAAAAAATTTAAATTTTTCGAAAAAAATATAATTTACTTCCAATAGCCACATATCGAAAGAAAAGCCATGGTGTAATTAATGGTTCTTTTGGATTACGTGGTGGACGTTCCATTATATCTAAATCAGGTGGATTAAAACCAAGTGCTGTTGCTGGTAAACCATCAGTTACTAAATTAACCCAAAGTAATTGAACAGGAATCAATGATTCTGGTAAACCAAGAGCAGCAGTCAAAAAAATACAAACAACCTAAATCATTAAAGTTATTATTATTATTTTTTTTGTCCTTTAAATTCATTAAAATTACTTCTCCAATATTTGATGAAATTAAATAACGAATAAATTGTTTCGTATTATTATAAATAGCTCGACCTTCTTCAACAGCAGCAACAATTGAAGAAAAATTATCATCAGCTAAAACCATATCAGCAGCTGTTTTAGCTACAGCTGTACCAGAACCCATAGCAATACCAATTTCAGCTTTTTTTAATGCAGGTGCATCATTAACACCATCACCTGTCATAGCTGTTATTTCACCATGTGATTGTAAATATTCAACAATTTTTGATTTATGTGTTGGATCAACACGAGCAAACATTTTTGCATGTCGACAAGCTTCAGATTGTTCTTCTATTGAAAGATCATCAAATTCTCGACCACTAAATGCTTTACCTACAAAAGTAAAAATTGACAATCATTTATATGATGCAAAAAAAAATATCTTACCTTGTAAATCTTCTAATTCTCGAAAGATACCAATACGTTGACAAATAGCTTCAGCTGTATTCTTATTATCACCAGTTATCATAATAACACGAATACCAGCATCACGACATCGTTCAATAGCATCAATAACTTCTGAACGTGGTGGATCAAGCATACCAACAACACCAACAAATGTTATATTATTCTATATATATACATATATCAATACATGATTTGTTCTTTTTTAATTCTAAAATATATAATCTTACTTCATATGTAATAAATTTATTCGAATCTTCTAAATCCATATCCTCTTTTCTTAATGGATTATCAATAGTTCCTAATGCTAAACAACGTAATGTATCTCGTCCTGTTCCATATTGATGAAGTAATTTCATTATTTCTTGTTTAATTTGTGCAGTCATTGGAATTTTTTGTGTTCCAACTCGAATATGTGAACATCGTTCAATAACAGATTCTGGTGCACCTTTAACAAACATTTTAGCTGTTTGTTGAATATTATTAGCACTTCTACTAGCAGTAACAACATATGTTGACATTGATTTTCGATCACGTGAAAATTCTAATGTAAATTCTTTACGATATTTTTGACGAATAATTGTATTTGATGACATAGCCATTTCGTGTGGTGATAAACGTGTTTTATCTGTATTGAAAACATTCATTTTTT